ATCAATGTTTATATATACTTTCTAAAACGATACAAAACAACTGAGGTGTATACCCCCCCCCCCCAAGAGTTGGATTGCGGTGAAAACCCAGCTAGCTTCAAGAGACGGGGGTAGTATGTGAACACTGCTGCACAATTGCAGAATTCATGACAAAACGAGGAGCAACTTTCAGTTAGTCAGTCAGTCTATCAACTTTGAAAAATGCACCAAGATCCGCTGCGGTTTCGGTTGCCAGTAAATGGGAAATGGCGTCAGTAGCCGGGTCATCTTCCGTTCACACACCACGGGTTCACACACCGACTACTGTTGATACCTTCTTCATCCCTCACACAGTCACTCTTCTCTCTTTCCTTATGCCGGTGCCACTGAAAACTGTGGACGACCAAACCTAAGCACTGACAGATGCGTTATACACCCATTGTCTCCAGCTAAAATACCTATGACTAAATCGGTCACCACGGCCGTACGCATACGAAAACATTCTCCAAACCTTGTCAATCGCCAGAGTCTTTAGCGGTGTCTGGCGGTCTAGGGTGCCTTATAACACTTTATCTTCTACAAGGGCAATCCATGAGAAGCCCCATGGACGCGTTCAGGTGTACACCAAGCCTCAGTCCGAGTTCAGTTCATCGCCTCTTTTGGTGTGAGGTAAGATTACCATCTCCTGTCATTGCCCTTCAAAATTTATTATTGACATCCTGCTTGAAACTTATATGCCTGTCTCTGAAACCTCAGCGATCAAAGTCTTCCCCGGGCGTTCAGTCACAGACATTGAGAACGCTTCTTGGTTCCAATCCTTCAGATTTTCAAATCAGTCTAAATGACCTAATGAATTCTGCCACATTGGTATGCGCTTCACACCTGCAAACTGTAGAGGGCTACTACAAGACTGCGCTGGATCAGACCGAAACCTCAAGCTCACAGGCCAGGCAATCGACGTGGCAGATATATCGTTTACCTAGGCGGTTGTACAAGTTCCGTCAGACCGGCTGGAAATAAGACCACCTCTAGAGTCAGGAAGACCGGGACAGCTGTTGCTAACCTTCGACAACTATGGAGCCGGCAAGACGTCAGTTTGGCTAACGACAGCAGAGTGGGACGGTGCGATCTGCACTGCCTTACCCGCAAGGATATTCGAAAGCCGTTAGTGTTTGATAATCGCCGCCTCCAAAGAACATAGTGATCAACCTCCCCCTTGAAAGACCCCTTCACAGACGTTCGCAGACGAACTGTGCAGGGGCGACTATCAAGGGGCATCCAGTCAAACAAGAATCCTTCCCCTATGGAGCAAGGGTGACGCCCACCCGGGAAAATCTTGCCGCATAGGTCTCTGAATCACCAGAGATGCGCAGCCGGAAGCGAGTGGAGAGTGATGGGGAAGTTTGATCGACTAGTGCGCTTGTGTGTCGAGTTCTGGTTCCAGATACAAGGCACACATCAATCTCAAGCGAGTCCAGTGTGAGTGAGAGCAAACATCAAAAAGCGTCAGACAGAGTGGGTGTCGGTCCTTGCGGATTGCTTTGGAGCCACCCGTTGACATCCCGTCAACGCCAGATGTCAACAGCTGTATACACAGCTGTATACAGCGAGACGACCCGGCTGATGGCACCACGCAACGGCCGATGTGGAATGAGTTTCATCGTATATGTGCGATTCATGGTTGTACGTGGGCTGGGATGCTGTCGGGACACTTATACCTTAACAGGACGATTAGGGTTCTCAACTTTAACCTTTGACTCAAAACCTGACCGCAAGGTAGCGGGGTTTGGCGAGAAATGCAAGTGCATTACCATTTTTAGAGAACAAGTGGCCACACATTTTCAACCCCCAACATGGAGGGTCAGGAGACTGTTTTTCAGGACTCTAACCATTGACCAACCCGGTATGAGACCCTGAGAGTGTACCACGGACACCCCCAGTATAGCCCAATAGGTCGCTAGGGTACACAAACCGTCGGTCCGGTAAAATTCGGTCTCCTCGTGACGGTGTTCAGTGATCTGTCTGACTTCTCTGATACATCCAAATAACCATTGGATATCGTCGAGATCGCTAGTCTTGAATGAAAACAGGAAATACATACAAGCAGGCAATGAGTATGAAGGCGCACGCAAATCCCTCAAAAGTCAGAGAAAAGCCTTAGGAAAAACCGAGCTTTGGTGCAGATCGAAAGCTCGTTAAATGGAGGCTTTCGCTACCGGAAATAGCCGTGCCCTATACCACTCATAACGACCGACCAACCGAGAGAAAGCAACGGTCAGTGAGACAATAAGTGAAAAGGGCGGCTCATTAATTCGCTTGCAAAAACGCCCACTGACCGAACAGTTCGCAGAACGGGTTTAGCTGGCCTCCTGCAAAGCAGCCTCTGGAGAGAGTGCATACGGGAAACTCAATTGCGGACATTAATCGCCCGACAGAAGTAGAAATCAAGTGCCAATTGTCCGTAATGAAACGAAACAGAACATCCGGACTAGCCCGCTTCAAAAGCGGACAAACCCTAGTAACCTACCTAACAAAGTTTATTGGCGCGATATGGAGTGGATGGAAAGTGCCTACAGAATGGTGTACGTTGACAGTTAATCAGGCCTTGAAAAATAGTACGCCCATGCTGTGCCAAAACCAGCGTGGCATCAGCCTGGTAGCTATGGCATAGGAGGTGCGCCATGATGTCAGCCCTCGACGGTTGACTGAACACAGAGAAAGGATGATGCGTGAAAACCAAGCCGGGTTCCGTAGTGCAAGAGGATGTGTCGATCACCGTTTCAGAATAGCTTGGTAAACGATCGGTAGTTTTTTATTTGGGCTACGTTTCGCTTTCGACACAGAAGTTTCATCAAGCCAAGTGGTCGCCTAATCTAATTGGCCAGTTTAAAGGGCAGACGGGGAACCAATCAGTAAGTCCTCTTCAGATTATCGCACTCGATCAATGTTGGGTGTCAATTAAAGGCTCTTGTCGGTCAGTGTGGCTGTCAAAGTCTTGCGTTGGTGGATTGGGGGAGTTTCAAATTAATTCTGATCGGATTTGGTTTGTTAATCTTCTACCTCAGGGTGCTTCAATTGATCAGTCACCTCAGGTGCCACTGGTAGATTTTCCTTGGTCTTTGTGGGGTTGTGAGTGCTGCAACAATTTAGTTGTGGGGGGTGGTGGGGTCAAGTGGAATTCAGATGATGACTACTCCTCCTTCTGATGACCGCACACCAACACGTGCCAGCTCGACTGATCCAAACCGTTCTCCACACGCTTACCAGTTCCACGCCCTCTGTTCTGTTAAAACTGGGGTGCTTGGCTATTTCTACATCCTCGCCATCAGTCCGCAAAGCGTTTCCCCTCAGAAACGCTACCATCATGTTGACCGTGTTTAGAATCGCACCGGTGCCATAGGTATTGGAAGTTAGCAACAGCTATCCTGATCTTCCCGATTCTATAAGTGGTCTTATCTCCAGCCAGTCCACCGGAACTTGTACGTCATCATCATCGACAGCATGACATCAGTGCTCAACACCGATGCTTCACTGCCGTACAACCATGATTTACTTGAAAGCCTCACTGTGAAGAAAAGAATAAAGATGGATGGGGCAGGAACTTAGTGCTATTACTACAAACACTCGGAGGTGCCTACCCCCCAGACACTCATTCATGCGATCTGGATAGAAACTGACAACAGGAACGCCACTGGCATCGGTTGGCAGCCATATCTTACAGCGTTTCCCACCAGATGCAGTGGGGATCCTGCAGGAGGGGGTGGCGACTAGCATCGACAGCACCCAAGCGTTTCGTAATCTCCTTCATACTTCTCTGCCACGTCAAGGGTTTGCCACCCCTATGCTTCCGCCACTCTGGGTACTTGTACAACTGCCTAGGTATACAAGTGTATCTGCCACGTCGATTGGCTGGCCTGCAAGCATGAGATTTCGGTCTGATCCCACAAGTCTTGTAGCGACCCACTATACTTTGCAGGTGTGAAGCGGATACCAAACCGTGTGGCAAGATTATTTAGGTCATTTAGACAAACTTGAGTATCTGAAGGATTGGAACCAAGAAGAGCGATATTGTCAGCGTACTTCATGTTTAGGAGCAATCGAGGAGGTTTCAGAGACAGGCAGAGAAGTTTCTAGGATGTCAATGATGAAGTTGGCGAGAGAGAGAGTAGAACTGCCTCATGCCAAAAGAGGTGGTGAACTCAGACTGAGCGCCTCCATGGGAATTCGCACAGATTGTCCTAATAAAAGATGAACGTAAGACACCGCCCAGAAATCTGACGACTGACGGTCAGAAACAGCCTTCGAGTCAAGAGACAAGATCGCCGATGGATATCTGAAACAGCTGTCGTTCAACAACCTACCTCGATGTAAGACTACGGTCTGCACCTCCTCAGCGATGGTGAAACCCTGCTTGGCTTTCACATATCTCCCGATATCCGATCGAACCCTGCAAAATAATGCTAGCGAGCACCTTGAACGCAATGACTATCAGGCTGGTTCCTCCAGGGTATTAGCATGACCTTCATGCGCATTTTTGTAAATTGAGGCCATGGTCAATGGGTGTCCTGCTTTGGTTCCAAACCTTCCGCAGAGGACCCCCAGACAGCTTCCTAGGGTCTCACCAATTTCAAAAAAAGCAGAAGCAGCCTATCTTGGAGAGGTGCCGCGTCGCTTTGGAGGAACCATAGTTCGAGCTGGATTCCTGTTGCTGATGGCAGGGCGGTAATAGTTCAGTCACGCTCGTTGGGTCCTTGTAGAGATTGTGTTAAAGAAGTTCGATTGCTGAAGATGCGTTTTTCGGATGAATTACCTTGCCATATTTTTCGCAAATCGTCTCGCCGACACCTATCCTTTTTTGCCAGTTGATAGAGCCATCTGAAATAGGATTTGGCTGTTGCCTGCAGCGACAGCTTTCTCTATATCTTGGGTCTTTAGAACCTACCAGCATTCTCTATCATTCTTCAGGCTCTTGAATATCTGGCATCGAGAAAGCTATGTGCATCATTTGGTTGCTGACACGGTTTTTCTGGCGGCCGTGGGATCCGCTCGCGCGAGAGCCAAGAGCATTACTTTTTCCACTTTTTTCCGTTCATTACCTCCGTCATCGATGTTTTCCCAGCAGCCTTCTAGCCTGATCATCATCATCATCGACAGCATGACATCAGTGTTCAACACCGAATATTCGCTGCCGGTAACATCCAGCCAGACCAGCTCGATGTTGCTGAGCTGTTGATACTGGTTGGAGTTGAGCGGAGATGTTCACCATCAGCGTGCGTGGTCCTGAAACATGAACTAATTCCGCCCCACGGCATGATCGGAACCAAGTCGCGTATCCGGAGGAAATGAAAACCTTTAACCGACTATTCATTGGTAACTGACACCTGCATGGTGCGACATAGTCCATGACTAACTGGTGGTTGATGACCTTTAAGTAACGCGGTGTGAACGCTTGTGCTGGAAGTTTGCACTGGTCAGTAACAGACAATCGGTGGAGACCACACAATCTAGGGGGTTCAGCGGCTGGTTACACACACGTGGCCCAAATTGTGATTTGTCACCCGAAATGCGTTGTTCAAGGTCCCTTTAGAATAGCACGGCGTAGTGATCAACACGATTTATTGGCTTTGAGTTTGTATCTTGACCTGAAACCTATTGTGCACAAATCCAACCGTCAAACCAACAAACCGTTCAAACAGGTATTGGTGGTCTTCATCCAGCGTGTAACACGCGTTGAACTCACTTCCAGCGAGAATTGTCCGGGCGAAAATGCTTGTGACAGATTACTACAGCGATACGTCCATGCTCACATTTACCCCCATGGACGCTAATGCCATCTGAGACACCGAGGACGGTGTCAAAGACGGTCTCTGCAGAAACTGAAAACGATAGACACTGAAAGAGATATGCACATTTTATGACGATATCCCTCTGAGGCGCATTACGGACAGCGTCCGGTTATCATAACCGTGGACGAAAGCTAACGAAGAAGAGACACTCCATTGACACGCTTCATCACTAACCTGTAAGTCTTCTTCGGGAATTCTCGCCAATTCCTCTTTCGCCACGGCCACCTGGGTAGGTCTGAATGGAACTTACTTGAACCAGATCAGAGAATAAAATTACCTGAGTCCAGGTAGTTTGAAATCCTTGTTCACTTCAGGCCGTCGATAACCTGTTTCTGCAGGACGTCGCGGAAATCTTAGCAAAAACACTGAGGACGAAACAACGAGACGGTACCTGTCGTCAACAGGATCACGCCCTGTCATTTTTCGTATATCCTCATCAACATTTTTTAATTGCTCCTTAGCTAGCTCCAAATTCTGACGAAGTACGTCGATCGCCTCAACTGCAGTCATGACTCGTAACGTAAACTTTCAGATCCCCGCCTGAAATAATTAGACCAAATTAGTTCGAAGGGCAGGACACATACACAGATTTCACGACCTGCACCGGTTTCCAGAGGGTGATGTGGATCGAACCGCGCCTGGTTATCCATACAGTGAGTCCAAAATTCCAAGACTAGATAAAGTGGAATGGAGCTTGAGCCTGACTACCCTGGACCCGTGCCCATTCCCAGGCGGCTTTCTGAGACCGTAAAGCCGGTGGATTGTGATGAACGTTGAGCCATTCAGCTTCAACTAAGCATGATTTTGACGATGATAGTGAATAGAAAACAACGTTCAAAGTCAGCGAAGGTTGGCTGCTCTCTCCCGCGCCTGGGGTCTACCCTCACCTCGCCCACAACCCAGTAACCAGCCAGGTCAACAATTCATGCTCATGAAAAAGACCACTTCAGAAGGAGGTCCAATCCTTTCACTGAATATCCTGAAGGAGAAGCACCAGCATACGAATTATCCTGTAGGCCGGCAAAAATTTTACACAGCGATCCAGTGCCTCGATTCATGATTTTCACATCTCAGAATATGAACAAACGTAAAAAAATACTGTGGCGGACGCCCAAGGACCGTCCAGGGTATTGTTCAGGAAGTATAGACATCCTCAAGCTGCGACAGAAACAAATCCACACATCGTGATTTTAGCTTCTTTTCATTTTCCGTATTGTCTTCACAGTTTTCCATTTTTTTCTTTTCTCGAGTCTCATTCCCTTTTTTCGTTTCTCTGCATTTCTCTCCATTGTTTACCGTCAGTATACTCATGGACAGGGTTTTTGGTACTGCTGCACTCTTTCGTGGTGCCTGCAGCCCCATTGCCGTCCACTAGCGCGCCACCTATCCACCACAGTGCGTACAACACTTCCTAAGGAAGACCCTCCCCCCGGGCTGGATAAAGACCGCCTTGGGCTAAGTCTGATAATATGGCGTCGTAGAATCTAGTTCTCAAGTTAGAACACTGGGGAATCCCGGGATTTTATTGCGCCAGGCAGGAGCTTGTTTTAAGTCTTCATACCTCGGAGTGCAGAGGCTCCATCCCCCAATGGTTTTCACGAAAACCGCTTTAGCGATAATCCATGAACGTGCCAAATTTCAGGCCACTAAGTGGCCCCCAAATGTTTGGTACGCGCTGGGTTACACTGGAAAAGCTGCCCTCCTTTGGGTCGTGTCTTCACACAATACTACAGATGCGGACGCACACGGGCTTTGAAGGTTGGTGGCGATTCATCCAGTTATTTAATCTCATTATCCTGAGTGGGCCATTTTTGTCGCTGCTTTGCACAGCCCCCGGTCGTGATGTCACTGTGAGGGATGTGGCCTATATCCGTTGCACCCCGTCCCTGATGTGAATTACAAACACATCTGCTGGGTGCGTTGGGAGGATAAAAATCCGGTGACTGCGATGGCAGCATATGTTCGTGTTCATAAAAGAGGCCGAGTACGACCACTAATTTCAAGATTCTTTTTGGAAGATGCCGGTGATTCTGTGCGAAACTGAAACAAGGAGAGATCAGTTCGCGTTTCGTATCGTTTACGTATAGGATGAATTACAGAAGGTTCGATGTAGTCTAACAGTGTACAGCTTTCGGCAGTATTTCAATTTCCATCCTTGTCAATGTCAACGAAATTTCTTCTTTGCATTTGCCCAGTAATCTTTTTTTCATGCAAAACGTTGGTTAAGTGGGAGTGGTGTGCAAAATTACCTCGAGAAAAGCCGACGCTCGGTGGTCTGGACCGGTGGTTGTTGGGTGACAGTTCCGGCAACGTTCGAGATCTGTTAGCTGTAATTATTTTTGGATGACCTGTACACGGAGAATCGGTTTAGCGTCAGAAGCTCCAGAACAGCTGGTTTCCTTCCGAAAGTCTCGACCCGTTTTCGGCAGTAGATCTTACCTCATATTAAACCTGAGTGTAGGTGTCGAAGACGCCATGAAGATTACGCTACCCGTCCGTAAGATAGCGCCCCACGCTGTTATTCATAGTTCCCAACCATTCACCTGTGACCACCACCATATTCGTCCTCGCACGGTAGCCTGTCGGCCCATCCAGGTTGCAGAAGATGCTGCAGACAGTTGGTTATATAACCACCTGCCAAATCTTCGGCGGATATACATTCGGACAAGTTCCCTGATTGGAAGCTTGAAATACAGAAAGGTGGCCCACCTCCTGCCAACAATTTCCTTGCCCATTTCCGTGCACGGGATCGCATTTTATGTTGGGCCTGCGGCATTTGAGTACCAAAAGCCCCTCCCGTACCCTCACAGTCTACCTCTCCTCCTTTGTTGTAGCGCCCTTTGTGTAGAGATAACCCGGTTCCTGGTAATCTGGCTAAATCTTATTGGCGCACAATTAACCCCGAACCGTTATAGAGCCTTTGCTTTTCTACTGAAATATTTCGCACAAACAGGCAGTAGGGAATACAAGCCGTACATCTGCTCCAAGCTGACCGGTGCCAGTTGAGCCATTTAGGGATTTGAGGGTAACTCGAACATCGGCCGTCATCATATTACCGCAGCGCTAAGGCTCGAAGGACATGAGGCCGGTTCACTCCTCACTTGGAGCTTAGATATAACTTTCAGGCACCATAACTGGTGTGTTTCTTGTTCAGTAAATAAATGCCCGGTGAGCGTTCGCTTTAATTAGCCCGAAGAGTGAAACTTTTTAACTTGTCGTCCTCGGATTTCTGAATGTAAGCATCTTCAGATTGTTTGCTTGGACCCAATGTTTGCGCTTGATTACCTGAGTACTCCATTTAGCTTCGCTTATCTGTGGGTTCATATGTCCCATCACTTGAGATCTCTTTTGGTCAGTCTTAAAATATCCGATCTCTTGGTGGTCGGTTCAGTAATCCCATAAAAACCGGTCTAAACTTTTGTCTTAGTGCCTATCTGACGGCGCAGTGGTGTCGTTTAACTGTTGAAATAGCTCCTATAGCTGTCTCCGTCGCGTGACGAGCGCAGCATATAGACAAAGCTTACTTGTGCCAAGATCTCATTCAACTGGATCCTCAAGTCTACGTACTGCCGTCTAGCGATGACGCCTCAGAAAATGAAACGAGGCTTCTTCCAGCAACACAAAGACCTCACGTAGCTATTCGCCGATGGAGATGCTCCTGCGAGGAGCTCGGTTTCTACACCAAGTACCTTATGTCTTAATATTCTCTGTGCGGTCTTATCCTGAGATCTTTGTTTCAGGTCTGTTCTATTGCTTTCCTTAGCTTCCACCTCAACTAGTTTTGCTCAGAATTTTAAAGCATTGGGTGAAGATGGTTATCTGTTTCTAGCTCTTGGTATTCTAACACCAACATTCCGTTTCCACCCAAGCTAAAGATTCACCCAACTTATTAGCTCATAATCGATCTCAGGCGTACAATACGTTCCCCTTGCTGATAATTTCCATCAGCATATACACGCCGATCTGCGGTATATTCTTGGAAACATGGAATTACCACTGGATGGCATATTTTATGCATATTTGACGATATAATTCCAGGTTACCCCTACCTATAACAGCTCACTGGTGGTAAGAATTTCTCTTCACACGAACTTGCGGTGCTAAGGCATGCAGCGATGGCTTAATAATCTCACCGAAATTCGTCTTTTTAGCAGCAGGCAGGCTCCCTATACCTGCTTCGCTAAATGGCTCAAGCAGAAAATTTAGCTCACCCTATGTTGGGGATGGCGTGATCCGGCTGGTCGGGGCATGGCCACAAATAGCGGACTGAACGATTACCTGGTTTTTTATGGTTGCTGTAAAAATTTTCCTCAGTGCTCTGTGGAAGCTTCTCAGGTTTCTTGCGATGTGGTGAAGATGACTGCTCGCAGAAGCCATCGAGGATAAAACAAGATATGCCAACAACTTCAGTGTTTTAATAGGAAACAGGCGAAGGCCAAACAATAAAATATGCAAACGTTGATAATTATTGTAAGACCCAAACCTTACAGCGACAAGTGGATGCAAGTATATGTTAACCAATAAGAAACCGGTTTCATATTCTTTTCCGCTTTGCAGGCAACCTCTGCACACCTAAGCTCTAACGATTTAACGGGTTCCTTGTGGAATCAGTGAGATTGCAGCCATTTAGCCACTTATGTTAAGGGTCGAAAATGGTCAAAACAATAGGCATTATCGATTGAGCCTTTGAAGAATCACGGTATAACCCTTTGGAATCATTACCAATGCGCAACTCATAAATCCTTGGGGAAATCAGAGCTCAAAATCCGTGTCTAGCTGTTAAACACCGAAGTGTCTATTAAAAAGTTACCTTTCAGCAGCGTCATTAACAGGCTCCTTCGTTATACATAGGTTTGAGTAAGGATGTAATAACCCGCAAATTGGATGAATCGTTTTTCTGAGTTATCGCTAATCAAGGAGCCGGCTACAAGTTGGCCACGTGGTGTTATTTTTTCGAATGAAGGATACTTGACATCACATGGTGCCCAAGTGCGAGTTCATCGCAATTTTTGTCAGCCGCTTTCACGGATTCACGGATTCACGGATTGATACACAGGATCGAGGCTTTTGCCCAAGTTTCCCGGGTCGGTTTTGTTCTTGTCGGTCAGTGGCTGTCGTTCACCTGAAAGGCACAAGTGAAAAAAGGGTGTAGCACTGCTCAGTCGAGAGGTTATAGGAAGCACTTCACGGATTCACGGATTCACGGATTGATACACAGGATCGAGGCTTTTGCCAAAGTTTCCCGGGTCGGTTTTGTTCTTGTCGGTCAGTGGCTGTCGTTCACCTGAAAGGCACAAGTGAAAAAAGGGTGTAGCACTGCTCAGTCGAGAGGTTATAGGAAGCACTTCACGGATTCACGGATT